AAAGATTGATTTTATGTTGCCCAAACAAAACATTTGTCATTATTTAGTGTAAGGTTATATTTGTTTACGGCGTCCATGAAGTGTTGAAGGTTTTCGTCATGGCCCTTCTGATTGTAGCCACATAGTTACATTATCTATATAAGCAAAAGTACTTTCCAGATTTTCAACCATTATGATTTTGTCGATTATTCTTTGAAAACACGCTACTCCATTAGTTACCCCAAAAGCTATCCTCTGGAACTGGTACAGCCGGCCAACAGCTTCAAATACAGTTCTGTCTTTTGGCTTAATAGCCACCTGATAAGTACTTTTCAAATCTAACGTGCTGAGAATACTATATCTGGCTATTTCACATAGCATTTGTGAGTGGCAACGGAAAAGCGTTTAGGAGAGTGAACTGGTTAATTGTCTGAGAGTAATCGATAACTTCTTTTTTCTTTTTTTTTTTTTGGTTTTCTGTATTTGTTATTAATATAGTGACGTACTTGGCTCTATTTCTTCTTGAAGCATTTTTTTTAATTCGGACTCTATAAATTATTTGTCGTCATGTGAATAACGTCGGCTCTTAATAGCTATTGGCTTACAGTCCTTTGTCAACAGTCAGTCTGCAAATCTTTAATACAGGTTTATCTCCGCCGAATAGGATTTCTATGCGTGTTGCTGGAAAAAAATTCGTGGCCCAGTATTACCTCACAACAAAGGTCTTTCATTATCGATAACTTAACAGCTTTACATGAGATGCTGTTGTAATGTAGGTCGGCCAAACAATATCCATTTACGTGTAATGACAAAGCTGCGTTCGCCATTGTTACTCTCTTGGGGGAGGTAACAATGCTATTTGTGATTTTTTTTTCTCCGATATAGTCTTCCGAACTGCCAGTGTATAATAATGCATTGGTGAGGACTCTGTTAATTTTAATTTTTACAATAGTTTTTGAAAGACAGGGAACACGGCCAATGTTGCAGAAAATGATAACGAACTGACATCTTGTAAAAGATATTTTTAAACGAACGACAGACATTGGAGAAATATCCTATTTTTCCACACTTGTGCCAACGAGCTTCCCTGGCAGGACATGAAAGTCGTGAGTGTAGATTTAGACCGCAGTAGTAACATGTCAGTTTGGTTGATGCAGAAGTGACAGGTTGTTCTGGGGTATTTAAAGGTGGGGCATACTGGGCAGGAGAGCAAGTTGAATCATCATAGAGAAGAGGTATAGTAGGAACACTTTGTTTTAGAGCGGCACCCACAGTATCGGGTTGAAAATACGATCTGGACTGCTGTATAGCAAGCTCGCAAGTATAAGCTTGTTCATAAACAGCTTTCAAAGTAAGGGTCTTACTTTTCAAGAAACCTTACCTGAACACTGCGTAGGCTATTTACGAAGGCGTCTAGAATATGTTCTTCCAAAGCGGTCATAGGACGAAAATTGCAGTCCCTGCTTAATGTCCGAAGAGTCTTTAGGAAAAGATCCAATGTTTCGCCAGATTCCTGTCGCCGGTTAGCAAGTATATGTCGGGCAAATAGTTCACGTCGGTTGTGTGTAATCTTTCTATCGCTTCTTCATAAGTTTTACAGCCTACAATGATATCGTTGATTGAATGAGACACATAGTCAGAAGAGCACACTTGTTAAGCCTATTAGGGTTCTCAAGGAGTAGAGTTTCAACAAAGTTCCTAAAAGTTTCGAGCCAGTATGTTCAGCGTTAATCTGCTGCTTCGCTTTCTGAGTCATAGGTAAATCGTTCTGGCCGCATATAAAGTTCCATTGAAAATTCAAGATGTTGTAGTAAAAACAGAACCAGTGAATAAACTTATACCAAAGCTTTATTGCACTTTACTCGTCTACTGACGGATTTTACAGGGTGCTTTTTATACCTCCTAGATCTTAAGTTGAGGTAACTATGTTTTTTAGTACACTAACGAGTTTAGTGATTTATTGACAATCTGGTGTTTGGAAAATTTAAGTAAGGGGGACATAATTGAAATAAATTACTTCATGAGCACAATGTGAACGCTTTCTTTTAATATATTTTTAAACTACCCAGTTATCTTTTAAAAAATTAAGAAAATAATTTAAACAATCGAATATTTTATTGAATTTTAGGTACTTTGACTTTATAGACTTATAAAGACGTTTATTGAGGATATTTTTAAAAATTACCTAAAAATTGTTAATTTATTATAGGTATTTTTTTTTAATTTTCTGATCGTGTCGTGTATGGACGTTCGTATTTAAACAAATCGGCAGACGAAAAAAAATTCAATTTTTATTTTGTACGTAATTTTTAAAAATTTAAAGGTTTATTCTAATTAAAATTTAAAACAAACGAAAACAATTCTCGTTTCACTATTCATCGAAAAAAAATGCTAAAACAACAGTGTCTATTATATATTTTATTCATAAAATCAGTTAAAAGCTTTTCTAAGTAAATAATGTCTTAGTTTTATTGCATTTTTATTTTACGAATCAGGACTGATTTTCGCAAGTGGTCTCCCCGCTTAACCAAAAAAATAAGTTGATGATTTAAATTCTCCTAGAACTTGTCCTTATAACAAATACAAACATTATGCGATATAAAAAAGAATTTCTCAAAATTTCATAAAAAATTGAGGTGGATAACAGATGTAAAAAAATATAAAAATATACATTTAAAATAATTTGATTCATTTTTGAATAATTCCTGAAAGTTTAATTAAAATTTGACAATTATCTGATTTTTGAAAGAGCTACCTATATTTAAACATTTCAAAATATAGTCTTGCAGGGTTAACAATTTCAAGTATACTTCTTCAGTGTGAGACTAGAAAATGACAAACAAATTCTGATATTACCATTGGTAAATCAGTAAAATGCGCTTCTTAAAAAGAAAGTGACTAATAATTCAAACGGTTGCTAAAATGTGAAACCTATGGCTATAATTTTGTTGGAAGAAAAGTCTAGAAGGTAAGGAATAATAACGGTCGCGTAATTAGCTACTAATCTTATCCCTTACGAACGCCACTCTTTCTCTTCTTACCACTGCGTAACAAATTGCCTCGACATGATGCTATCTAACTCTTTTGCCGTTTGTTATTTTTTTGTTGTACAGATTGGTTATTGTTGATGCAAATAGCATGCGACTGTCTACTAAAGCGACTGATTTGTTGTTCAGTTTGTAAAATTAAGTTCCTCGCTCGACCCGAGTTTGCTTTATGTTGTTCGCCCGTAATAACAAGCAGGAGGCGGCACTCTTGCCTACAAGTCACAGTGACTGCCAAATGTGTGAACATTACCAGATTTGTTTATTGTGGAACGGGCCACTCCGCATTCTAAATCCTGACTCTACACTTGTAACCTTTTTATTTTTATACAGCCTCTGAACTCATTTCAAGAGATCTTTGAGTACAAAACAAAAAAAAAACAAAAAAAGAAAAAGAAAAGAAAAGAAAACTAATCGTGAAGCTAAGTGCGGATTCTTATTAAAATATTTTTTAATCTCACATAAACATGGCGGCCCACTGGAAGATGTATTACAAGTTCTTCCTTAACTCAATGCCATTATTTAAGTAAATACGTGAAATTTGGAACAAAAATCCTTTTCACAAAAGAAGATATCGGTATTTTTACAAATAGATATATTAGAATTTAAGCATTAATTAATGATCAAATATAGATATGTATGTTTCATCTCTTCTTTTTTCCTTTTTTTTTATATTTTTATTTCCAAAATTAATTAATACTTAAGGAAAATATTTGACTGTGCCTACAAAAATTAGCTATTTCATATCTTGGATTTAGAAAATTTTTATTTTTCAGAAACTTAACGTATAATTTTTCATGTATGCACAAAGGATATGTGTCATTCAATGACCTACAAGCTCTAGCTTTTCTTATTAATTTCCCTTTTACCGTTGGGGTTTTATTGTTTCCTTTTAAGTGCCATAAATATTTAGATAGGGACGTTTGATTTCGGTATTTATTATTATTAATGGACGTTTGATATTGGTTCCACCTTCTTTTGAATTCGTTCCTTGTAGAATTTAACCATGTCTGAATCTTCAACAGATGAGATATTGCATTCATAAATTACTGATTTAATACGGCATTTAAGAGGACAGTTTTGAGGTTTTCTACAGTTACATAATTTTTCTTTATCTTCATTTCTTTTCATTTTAGGATCTATATTTTAAGTATTTATTCAAAAAAATTAGCATTATGTTTCTTAATCATTTCTAAGTTTTCAGTACAACTATAACTTAATTTTAGGGTATTTTTATTAAACATTTTACTGAGTTTACTATCTCTAGGAAAATATTTATCAATTAATGCAAGGAATTCTTGATTTAACTTATTTCTTACCATGTGGTTGTATGGGGGTGTATACCAAATGATTTTTCTATTAAAAATGCAATTTTTTATCATTGAAAACCCAGACGACACACTGAATAACGGATGTCTATGTTTGTGAGCAGGTGCTCCCACCCCACCTAAACTTGACTTTCTAAGTAACATATATTTGATACATAAGTTGTCTAGGGAAATTAAAACCTAACCACCCTTAATCAAAATAGATTGAATTTTCCTTAAATTTAAGTAAATTTCTTAGAAAGTTATTTCTAACATCGTTTGACAATGAAACGAAACTCTGGATTTTAAGTTTAATTTTTATAATTGAATTTACAACTTTAGTTTCAGCTTTGAAACATAGAAATTTCTGTATCGCGATGGAATCATATTTTTAAAAAAGAAAATAATTATAATATTATGTTCTACTGTGTGTATTGGGTACTTTTTTTAAATAAAAACAATTACTAAAAACACGGGATTATAAATTATTATTTTAATATATATATATATGTGTGTGTCTGTGTGTGCATGTATGCGTGGAGAGAGAGAGAAGAAGAATGTAATATTCTTTAAATGCTTAATAAAAGTATTTTATTAAAACCGTTTTATTAAACAATTCAAGAATTTTACATTATACAAAACAGATGAGATTCAGTTATCATCAAGTAAAATGACTATTTTTTTTCTTCCGCGATATTCGAAACCAGATTACATTGAATATACGAAGGAAATCTTTCTTTCAGCAAAGTTTTCTGATAATTTTTTTTATTTCGCTATTCGAAATGACATGCACGCATGTTCGGTCGGATTCTTGAGAGAACAACCATTCATTATGTTAGGTGGAAATTCAGTGTCTGCTCAATGATAAAGAAATGTTTTGGAGGCATCGAATGTTAGTCCACCACCCCTCCTTGAGCTGATTAGAGTTAAGTCAGAGGAATGATCAACTACCAGACTCTGGTCAACTATATTTTTGGTGGTGCACCCATACACTATTATATCATCTACATAGATACATTTATTAAGCATTTAATTTGTATTTAGGCAGATTGTTAATATAAAGTATAAAGAAAAGAGAAGGACTGAAAAGGGAGCCTTGCGAAACTGCAACGTTTTTTTTCGACATAAACTCCAGATGTTTTCATTGATTATTGCTTGTAATTTCTCCTTATAAAATAGCCTCAATATGTTTGCTTGTGACTCTCAGACATTTTAAGCAAAATTCTAAGCATATGGGAATTCACCTGAAAAGAAAACTCCCAAATGTCAGCGCACAATGTCAATTGTCCATTGTTTCAAGAAATTCTTTTTTCATCGATTAATGCTTATATTTATCATAAGGACAAATCTTCAGAGATCTTAAATCATCAACTAAAAAAAAATCCCAATTCTAAAAAGATCTGCTCCGAATCGTAAAATAAAAAATGCAATAAAACATAATGGCCTGTAATAAAGTCAGAATAAAAAGTTACAATTAATTTACGGTGGCCGGAAATAAAATCATCTATTTCTGTCGGGCACTTCACGAGTTTATAGGTCCGCTATGTTTGCAACAGAAATCTATAGTAAATAGATTCAATCTCTAAAAAACGTTTTCCCTCAATGCTAGAATCACCTATTCGATATACTTCATAGTGATAAGTCTGAGTATCCCATAAGATCCAACTTTATGTGAATAAAGTCTCAATTTGACATTGAAATTCAAATTAAAAGTTCCTTGAATTTTCAATTTATTTATGAGCCTGGGTTTTTATCCGCCGTGTGCTAACCTAGTTCTCTTTTTTTTTCTTTCTTGTAACTTTTTACGCGGACGTTTTTTCCTGTGATGTCTTTTTTTTTTTACCTGGATTCGTTTACTTGATGGAAAGCTCAATGCTTGATTGACTTGACTGCTTTAGATGATGACTTCTGTCTGGTTTACATTGCTAACTTTCATAAAGACATGCATACACCTATTCAGGCACATAAACGTACGCACGCGCAAAGCATAGCCCACGTGTACAGAACACACACACGCAGATCACGCACCTATCTTAATGAAGAGAAAGGAAGTATTGATAATGTTTGAACTTTATACAATTGTACCTGTAGGAGACATAAAATCATATGCGTAGGTTATTCTGCTTATGACATTCGTAAATATTTTGAAAAATTATTAACATTTGTACCTGTTAAGAATTATAGGCCAAAGATGTTTTATTTTATATTTTCTATTGCAGGTTATTTTTTATGATCCTTTCAAGAAGAACATTGAAATGTTGCTAAGTGCCGAAAAGAGGAAGATATGAATGCCTTACAAATCTGTACATTAAAGCTAAAGTTAGAATGTTGTTTGGTCACAAGGTCAGACTTTGGGAAATGAGTGGGTCCAGAATTTATCAGCACATACTAATTCATTTATATAATATTTTTACACACACACACACGTGTGTGTGTGTGCGTGCGTATGTGTGTGTCGTGTGCGCGCGTGTGTGTGTATGCGCGCGCAGTAGAGAGGATGCAAACAAAGAGGAGGCTTATACTTAATATCAGGAAAAGACAGCTGAATTTTCTGGGATACATAATGAGGAAGGAGGGCCTGGAGAATCTGATACTCACGGGTCGAATAGAGGGAAAGAGAAAACAGCGCGTGACATACCTGGCGCACTAGGGCAGGTGGATGACAGGACGTGGTCTGAGGAAGGAAGCAGAGGGAAGGAACTTGTTGAAAGCTGCAAGAGATAGAGGGAAGTGGAGAGCCTTGGTTGCCTACGCCCTGAAAGAACATGGCATATAAAAAGAAAAAAGTATTTTTTCTTAGAAATAATTCTAGCACATTTTGTACAATAAGAAAACAAAACTTCAAACAAAAGAAAAAAATCTGTTTATGTTTTTTTCCCCAATGTTATATCTTATTTTCGTATTCCCCGTTTATTTATTTCCCCATTTTTTCTACTTTTTGTCGTTGATATTTTAAATTCGATGCAGATAAAGGGAAGAATTAGCTCAAAACTATGCAATAACAAGATATTATGGATCGAAATCTATTAAAGAAAAAAACACAAATTATTTGTCTTACATTTGTCTATATTTACAACATAATCATCATACATTTGGAAGTATCTAAACAGAAAATAATATTTTTATATTGTTTGTAAAGAAATCTCTCATGAATGAATTAGTAGACATTGTCAGGATATTGTGCCAATAATAGATCCTCGGTTCTCTAAACCCCCTTTTCTAATTCTTATGATCCAGCTATACCTGTGTGTTATCACCTAGTACTAGTGGTAGTAGCAGATACTTGTTTATTGCTTTGCCTGATTTCTGAGACTGGTCTATTTCACGGCTTTTTGCATAATTCAGCACTTCGGTTTTTCTTTTACTGTATTTTGCTTTTTTGTCAGTATGGGGTGGTGTGCGCGTGCCGCGTGTTTTGTCTTGTTTTTGACATCTTCTTTCTTAACACATTTTGGCTTTTAAAGAGCAGCTGACGCCGATTTATGCCGCCAGTAAGAAGCTTAGTAAAAGGCTCCCTTGAGAGTGGCGAGAACACCAGCCGCTGTCTCGTCCGGACAAACATCTTCCTTTTTGTGTCCTTTTCTTCTCTTTTTCTTTCTCTTTCTTTTTAATTTAGACTCTATCAATGAAACAGATATTGTCATTTAAATTAGTTTTTATTCGTTTCCTTCCTTTTTCTTTTTCATATTTTATTTCTTCTCTGTTAAAATTATTAAAAAGAAGAAAGAAAAACACGGGAATACGATTCGAATTCCTTTAGCCTCACTTCCGAATTATTGCTTTTTTATTGACTTCCTGCTTCCTTTTTCATTTTCTTCTCTCTCTGCTATTTTCCCATCATCGGTTTTCATTTTTTTCTCTCTTCTTTTTTCCTTACAAATATTTCTATCTTTATTTCTTCTTTCTGTCTCTCTTTCTCTCTTAAGTTTTAACATTTCTTTCTCTCCAGTTATCTTTTCTCTTTCAATTTCATATATCTTTCACGTGGAGATATTTTACACTAGCTTCGTTGCAGCTGAACGATTTGTGCGTAGAATCCCAGGTGTCCGGCTCAAACAGCAACGTACATCGACTTGGAGCCGAGAATCAGTCGGGCCGAGACAGTGGGGAATTGAATCCACATTAATCCTTTGCCAGTACTACTAACATTACATCTTTTTTCTATCACTAAAATCGTATCCTTTCTTTCCCTGATGTTTTCTCTCTCTCTCTCGCTCTCTCTCTCTCTCGCTCTCTCTCTCTCTCTCTCTCTCTCTCTCTCTCTCTCTCTCGTCTTGCAAACTATAGTGATATATTGTGTGTGCCTTGTAAGATATTAAGTACTGTAGACTTACACCTAAGTTAAACATAACACACACACACACACACACATATATATATATATATATATATATATATATATATATATATATATATATATTCTGCGTAATTAGGCAGCAAATGTTCTTCAAGTCAAATAAAAACAAAAACATTTCTGACGGAATGGATGTACACCTTGTCTGAGAAGGTTTATCCGTAATTTGAAAAAGTTAAACAGTAAAATTAATCGGCACAAAATGTCTGTTGCAAGTTTTCCTTCTTGGTTGTAGCGATAGAGATTCTGATCGAAGTGAGTTTGAATGGTGATTCTGACTCTCTCTCTCTCTCTCTCTCTCTCTCTCTCTCTCTCTCTCTCTCTCTTTCACACACACACACACATCTTTTCCACATGCACACACATATATACACCCATATATATATATATATATGTGTGTGTGTGTGTGTGTGTGTGTGTGACGGAGGCACGATGGAGTAATGGGTAGAGGATCGGATTAATGTAATCGGTGCTCGAATTCCAGTTGAATTCATTACATTAACTTAGGTACTTGGGAAAGATATGAAACCATCTCTTCTCCCTCGTGCTATGGGTAAATAGCAGAACACTGTTTCCTATAACCTTGCTTGGTGACTAGTCTAGGAGAAAGAAACTATCTTACCCAAGAGGCTATCTTATCAAAGACACACACACGCACATACACACACACACACACATTGCTACTACGGCTGCAGAATACATAGTGATCCTAATGGGTTCCGAGACTTTTGATCTTGATCGTGAACAGAAATTAAGAAGACAGAAGATAACAACTGACATTGCTTCAATTATTTTCAATATTTTTTTACTATCAGATCGTCATCCATTTTTCAGAATAATATTAGAACGTGCATTCATCATCTAAGTAAGTGATTCTCAATTTTTAAGAAAATACGAAAGTAAATTTTATAACTTCTCTATATATATAATTAAGGGAAGAAAAAATATTCTGATACCTTAATCAGCTAATACGAAATTCTTCTCAAAGTTGCTAAAAACGTGACAATGTTGGGGATGAGCGGACAGTTTAGGGTCAAGAAAATAGTAGATTTAGCCGTTGCATTAACATCTCAAGAACGTCAGATATCGTTGCAAGAACGTTCCGTGTTGGGCTTCCATCATCCATTTACACAAGCTCATTAGGAAGGTTACTCGTTGTTTCTCACTGTCCTTCTTGTCTTCAATACATCTTCTAATTGTCAAATTCTCCATGAATGATTTTCCTCATTATGTCTCCAAGAAAGCAAAGAATAAAAAATATATACACAGATAAAAATATGTTAACTCGTAGTAGTAATTATAACAGTTCAGAAGAAAAACATCTAATTTTATCCCTTATAATTTTATATTAGATTTTGATGGCAAATAAAAGAAAACTATATATGATACTAAGAGAGTCAAAGGTCGACAAAACTCTACAGGTTGTACACGTTCCAATGAAGTTTAACCAATCTATCATACTGGATTTGTTGAAAATTCAGACGACCATTTCCCATAATAAATATGATAATGATCAACAAACATGAATCTCCAGTAAGTGTTCCCTTGGTAGCCAATCTTTATTCCCCAGAGAAAAAGAAAGAAATTTGAAACAAAGAATACGCTTAATAATAATATAATGCAACTCGAATAATAAATGGTACATTCGTGGTTACGAAATCGGATGTAAGCGATTTCGAAATTAAAAAAAAAAAAAAACTTACAAAAGCCTGGAGTTAAGTTAAAATAGAACATAAACTGGTAGATATTCCGAAGGAAAATAAAAAGAGAAAAGCCATTCCTATTAATAGAAGAAACCGTAGGCACCGAATTCATCCTCAATGAAGAGGCATAATGGGATGAAAAAGAATTTACCAAACTTGAATTCAATATAGAGTAAAAAGAACAAATGCAAATACTCATAAAAATGACACAGGAAACAAAGAATTGACATGACTTAAAAGATTTACAAGAGAAGATTGAAAGTCGAAAATAAAAGCGTTCATCAACTCGTAAAATTATTGAAAATATTATGGTGATGTCAATAAAAAGAAGAAATTAGTGTTAGTGATGTCGATTTCATTGAAGAAGAAGACTCGAAAGGAATTCAAAAATGAATAAACACTTTTTTGTCATAGTAATCTTTTAGTTGAATCGCAATGGACAGGAAAGCCACCATTAAGGTCTTGGATCGATAAAACTTATTGTTAGTTTGTGATTAGTCGCTATTTAGACCACTACTGTGCGCATTTGAGCATGAGCTCTCCACAAGCCGCATTCATTCAGAAATGCTCTGACCCAGGCTTCTGGCCATAATAATTTAGCCTTTATCAGAGTCTCTTGACCATAACTGCAGAATTCAGTACATCATAATCGGCCGTCTTATATACTTCTTATACACATGTCGCTGGTAATAATATTTTTGCTTTCAGTGTAAAAGCACGGACAGGGTATGAACAGTTATAGACTAGGAACTGTGCAAATGACTTGAGTTTGGTCCTGTTAACAAATGGGATCAGCACAAAGTAGTAACTGCAATAGAGAGAATCAAAAATAAGTTCCTATAAGATTTTAATATTCAGAATTTCTATCCCATCCAATGTAAGGGGAGCATACCAGATTGTATACAGTATAGGAAAGACAGAAGAAAGAAGAGAAAAATGTGCCAGGATCTCACTCAGTAACTGAGAAGACTGTGTAATATGAAGATTAGAATTGGCTCACTTGAAACCGTAGCAAAAACGTTACAACCGAGATTCAAGAAAGAAACTGAGAACCATTATGAGAGTGTTGGTATGTGGATAATATAGAAGAAGGTGCTAAAGATTTTAAGCGACTTGCTTTCTCTCAATTCGGCATAATCATCATATATATTGTGTGAACATGCAGACGCTTGATGCAATCATAATAGCATTAAAAAATCGACAGAGAAAATGGTAAACTTAAACTTTAACATCCGATGACCTCTATATTTGCAACGTCGTAAAAATGTCTGCTAAAGCGACATATAGATTTAGTCATTTCCTTATTCCGAAATCGCAATAATTGCAAGTGTAAGTAAAACGTTATCAATGACTCTCAGTTTGTTAATAAACAGAGAGAGGGAGAGTCGAAATGACCGGCACAAATGACAGCTATGGCGTCATCTAAACAACACTTGTAACATTCTTACAATAGCTTACACACAGCAGTTACAATCCGTCATTTCTCCTTTGACAGACTCGCTTTCGAAATTCCACTTTAAACTTTTTCTTTGATTTCTACTATTGTTGTTTATTTTGTAGACATTCTTTTCAACAGAACTTTTCAGACTTTTATTCGTTAATTAAATATTTTGTGGACAGCATGATGTCAACCGAATCTTGACAAGACCCGACAATTTTTTGACAAATATGATTATGGTTGAAGCACATCAGAGAAAATAAGTAAATAGATAAATAGAACATACTTCATCATTAATTCGAATTAATTTTCTATCTTTAGAAAGAAGCAAAATTGAGAAAATTCTCCATAAAATTATTTGTTTATATTATACAGCATCTGAGATGTCAAAGTTTTAAAATTGTTTACATATGTTACCGGATGTCACAATAAATATACAGAAATATTTAGAGGATTTTGTTAAAACTTCTTGTATGCATTTCATCAGTTGATAAAAGTGATCATTGAAGGATTTCCTAAGAATACAAATAGAGAATTTTCCTTTAAATATTAATTAAATCTATGCAGCCACTAGATAATTAACTGTGAACACAATTAAAATATATTTCCGTGATAATTTAATGTAGTGTCATCAATGGATAAAAAAAAGGTTCCTTACATTATGAATAGACGAAGAAATACTGTAAAATAATGTACATTAATTTATATGCCGATATTCTTTTTGATTTACGTTTTAGATTTATATAGAAAGAAAATATACTTACTTTTTCAAATATGTATTTGAATAAAAACAACTTGAATATTAATTTCACTTCTGCAATTCTGTTTCCACAAAGGATGTTATCAAATAATAACGAGGGAGAATAAACAATCAAAAGCCATTAAATAAAACTGTCACATTGCACACGTGACAAGGAATAGTTTCAGGAACCTGACAATGAAACGATATTACTCGGTCATCAACAACTTTATCTTCAGGTTTAAATCCCATTGAACATTTATGAAATATGTTTGACAAACAAATTCGCTCTGCAGAATCTCCACCTCGTAAAATGAAGCAGATTTTAAAATGCTATTAGCATAATGTTAACACAACCCAGAGATAAATTAGAGGGCGTGTAGACTTGCTTGATCGAGTAAGCACTGTTTTGCGTTTTGGGTGTACATGGGGAACTACCACTTTAATAAGCAGGTAGATATACTGACTCGTTAGTGCGCGCACACACACACACACACACACATTATATATTAGTCATGATGAAAGTGAATAATCGTCTCTACTTTTAAGCTTTAAAAACTTATTGTTCAAATTTTTCCCTTCATCATAACATATATTCGATATTTGTTGGTATTTAAATACGTAAACCAAATTTCTGTTAGCTATCAGGAGAGGCTTACATCTAGACAATCGATAAATTCCCTATACCAATGGTTGCAAACAATGATATAGTTCTATTTTCATTTTTAAAATAGTCTAAAACAATAAGATAAGTCGCCCGTCAAAAGCCACAAATTCCTTTAAAGCGAACATACGCTCAATTCACCAAAGATCAAAAGGACTGGATTTTGGCACAGTGATCAACATGATATAATTGAAGAATTAAATTTTAATATTTTGGGGGTTTGATGGTTAGAAGAGGGTGTGAAGTAAAACACCGAAGAGAGTTTCTTATGGAAAAAAAGGGGTTGTATGTCTGGGAATTGATATCCGTCCGTTGTATCGGATAAATGGGATTATAAAAATAAAGTCTTACCTAAAATACAGGGAGTCCCTAAAGTCTGGACAAATTG